CCATGATGAATCAAGTCATCACCACAGGGGTGAGGTTGTAGACAAAATCTTGTGAACTGTCTCACTTGTGTCAAAGTAAATTGTAGGTATGGTGGATAAATTATCAAAGGTATTTCTATTGTGCCTGAGTAGAACTATACTATAGGTACAATGGATATATTGAAGACATTTCTATTATAACCTAAAAGTAAAAATGCATGTATGGTGGTGTATACATTACATTTCTATTCTATTTCACCAAGAACCAGAAGGTTGAGAAGAGGCCAGTGGCAGTCGTGGGAGGATGCAAACCTAAAGCTTTGCACAGCTTTACCATGCCTCCTCTTATTCCTGTACAGCACACAGGACAACTTGTACATTGTGTACATAAATGTTTCCTCTCATCCCATTCTCTGTAATCACTTTATACTGCAGTCAGAAATAAATTCATTGCCTTTCTCAAGACTTTGTTTTGCTTGTTGCTTGTGTTTGGAAGTGTTTGCAGGTGGTAGGAGGATGAAGGCTCCACTGGTACTGGTAGGTCCAACTTTTCTTTTCTTTTCTTTTGTTTCTACCATCATCCTGATGTACAGGATCCAGACCACACTCTCTTTCCATGTATCGAGGTTCACTAGCCAGCTTTTGTCTCTGTCTGTCTTATTTTTTAAGTTTTCCCTATCAGTAATTCGACCGTTACTGTGCTGATGTGTGCTTCTCTTTCTTCAAAATGAGTCAAACTAACAAACAAAAACATGGGGTGGGTGGTTGGCAAGTGCTCTGGTGTGGTTTGCTCCTTTCCTATGAAATGTATCATCCATCTCTCCTTTTCTGTTTGCTTCTCTCTTGATACACCTCTAATCTTCCTTCAGCACTTATAAAACATAATGGGAAGCATATATGTGGCCAACTAGGCAGACAGCGGAGACCAGCATCGGTGATCAGTTAGGCTATCGCATATAAATGACCTGACATCCATTCACATGTCACATGTGGGGCCAATTTCTATTAAGTTGTGTGTATCTCTGCGTCTTTCTCCAGGGATGTATTCCGATCCCTCTCAGCCTGGTTAGGCTCTAACAGGCAGGAGCAATAATCCGCCTCCTACATGTGGCAGGGGCATTGTGTACTAAAAATGCTTCTAATACAAACTCACTTGAACTACACTGCTACCTTCTGAGCATTTGTACCTCATGCTGCCGAAGAGATTGGGCCCATTTAATGTGTGTTGTTTTTGTGTGTAAATACTTCACGCATCCCATTTAGACAAGAGTTTTGATCATTAGAAGGCGATCTGCTTGGAAAATGCCTGTCAGGGCCAACAATGGCAGAGTGGGATACAAAATCCCAGTTGACATTCACAAACTTAAATTTTATTTTTTTTTAAATTGAACTCAAGTCTTCTGCATCCACTGAAGAGCCTCAGCACTACACCACAGATGACAGACACTGGTGACCATTTATTGAAAAAGAGGAAAATGAGAAGTACTCCAAAATTGCTCTGCTATGTAGCCTAGTTCTAAAGTGTACCATCTGAGATATCCCAAGACATTCATAACCCGCCCATGCCCAATCACTAGAAGACAACTGAAATCATGGTGAAATGGTTTTAATTCATATATCTACAAGTTTTATATTTATATATATATGTATATATACTATCTTTCAGCGGGGCAACAAATTACAGCAAAATCAACAAGCAACACAATACAAAACAATTCAAATCGTAAATGTTCATTCCAACTTTCTCACCATCATGGACACTACGAGCCAAACTGCAATGTTCATGGCCCTGAAAATGGTGGCTTACTACCCTCATCTGTAGACCTACCAATTGTGGCATATTTTTTCTCTTTAGCCCTAAAATTTGTTCGGATGTGCCCAGTTCTTAAGAAAGCATCAAATGACAATGCACAATCACAATGTATTTTTTGCTGGGCTACAGAACACTAACACACACAACAGGCAAATGTCGGTAACAAATGAGATTGTGTATAGATCTGGTGAAACAAACCGCTTCCAAGTAGCTTATATTATAAAATGTAAAAGGAAGTTGTCCTGCAACAATCCGATCAGGGAATGAGGAGAGCACAACAGGAACATTAAGTTAACTCTTTTTATCCGGGCTACGAGTATACTCGTAACGAAGACCAGTCCGGGCTACGAGTATTCTCGGAACAGCGATACGGTCACGTCAAAGAAGCTAGTTCTGTTTGTAATTACCAAAATACGCAAATACGGCGATGCTAGCTCAGTCTGAATATTTTAATTTTCCAATGAACAGTATTGAACAGTGGTTACTTTGTTTTTGATGGGTGTGGAAGCTTGAAAGATGTCTTGAAAACGCACATTCACGACCGACGAAGTACTCTATTAAGTGGTGCTGGGTTGTGAGGGGGGAATGATACTAATTTGATGAAAGTGACTCTGAAATAAGTGCTGTAAATTCCGTTGTGGATGATTAGAAACAGGACTTAGACTCATCTAATAGCAATTTAGATCATGGTGAAGGGGTTAGTACTGGAATTCGTGCTCGATTTGTAGGTCTAGATCTAGATCTATAAAATCAAATGGGTCGTCGTGGGCGCGGCAATCAGGGTAAAGTTCGGGGGTGAAATACACCTCAAAATCTACATTGTGTAATTGGTGTAATTCCTAACCACATACATTTACAAAAACTACATTCAATTTCTAACATAACTGCCAAGTTTCCTTAAAACCTTAGAGTAAATGTAAAAAATATAGCACTTTGAACTATACGCACTGACTACCCACTCATACGGCGCGGCGGCCCCAGGACCGGTACAGAGTCCGTGGGGGTACGGCTAGGATAAAAAGAGTTAAGTAAGGGACAGACTATGAAATCAAAAGTGAAAAGGGTAAAGTGAAATTCATGTTTTTTCACTTTATAAAAAAGAATAAGAAAACAATGCATGTGTGTGGCATCTGTCACATCCTGTACAAGTATCTACAAACATTTGACTTTTGATTTGATCAATAACATACACAGCAAACCCAAACATTACTTGAGGTAGATCTACAAAAACATCTGAATAGAATTTTGCAACATTTGAAGATATAATTTTATTATATTATGTGGAACAAGCGTATGAGGAAGCCCTATGCCTGTATGAGCCTGTATCTCTCAGTAGTTTTGATTGACTCACATAGAAATACATTGGGGGGGGGGTCAAATCTCATTGCTGAACCAAAAAAAAATGTGACTATACTTTTAATTCAGAATTAAGAGGCAAGACCGAATTAGACGTGTATCTCAGATGGGGCCAAGCCAAGTAGGTGGAGAGCCTTAAAACTTCCCCACAAACAACTTAAGTTCAAGAATGCCATATTGGGGATTCGAACCACGGTCATCTGTGTTTGGGGCACCTGACAACAGGTCCTTTCACACTTGCAAACAGCAAAATGAACACATGTGGAAAGGACCAGACAGAAATGTTTCAAAACATCATCAAAATGGTATAGTAGTGTCATTAAAAAGGTACAGTAGTTGCAGGTGTGCCAACTTTTTTCAAAATCCAACGATATAACATCAGCTTATGTAACAGCAAACAAAACTACATCAGGTGAGACTGGTTTTGGGGTAGTGGATGTGATAAGGCTCTCACTCTCAAATTTCTGATTGTCAAATCTGGGACAGTCCCAGGGTTGGTAAGCCTGTGGTTGTTTAAAAGTATGTTATGGGCAGAACGCTAGACAACAGTAATTTACAGCGTTTGCCAGTACCTCGAGACACGAGTGAACACATTTCTACAAATACATCAACAGTGCAACAGTGGTTTTTACACTTTTGAGATTTTTCTCCCACAAAAAAAACGTACCAATTCAGGTGTCCAAACCTGACAGTAGACCAAGTCACACTACTTTATCTCCGCTTTCATCAAAATCTCACCTATACTGTATATTCTCCACGCACCTCACACCACGAAACAGAAAGCACCAAGTCGTGAAACCGCATATTTACAACACCATGTACAGAAGCATAACAACCATAAAACCCTCCCAAACTTGTTCACTCTTTTGAGTTTTGTTTGTTTTTTAGTTGAGGTTTTACGGTGCTCGCAACTGCATAAGGTCATATGAGCGCCAAGGGGAGGATGTCAACAGAGAAGTCCTTACAGGGAATCAGACTTACTCTGCTCACCTCTCTAGCTTCAACAGCACAAAGTCTGCTTCGACTGTCAAGACACCCCGGAAATAGCGGGTCACAGGAGTGTGACAAACATACAAAAGAAGTAGAGAAAAAAATGACGATAGTAAGGATGAGGAAAGAAAAGGCAGCAGTTCCCTGTTGCAGTTCAGGAACAGTTATGAGCATGGCATTCTTGAATCAGCCCACGTACAATTCTACCATGTATAAGATCAAGTTAATGTCCCCCCTTTGGGAATGACCTGAAGATACTCCAATCAGTGGCACCGCCCGGGGGGGGGGGGGGTGATGATTTGAGTTTGTTCGCGGACAGAAAAAACACAACACAATATCATCATATCATGTCATTTCTGTTTTAGAGCAGGGAAAGGGCCAGACAGAATTAGCAGATGGAAAGGCAAGAAGAACCTACCAGAGGTGTACTGTACCTACCCATTCAAGATTTTTAAAAGTGAATAAATCGTTTGGCCTGAGTCAGTGGCATGCATTGTACTTCTGCTCATCATAAGCACAGAACTTTGCCAAAACCAGCCAGCGGTGATATCGCCATGTATGTAAACACCTCTCCTCCTCCTTCTTCCTCTACAACAAGAATGAAATATACTGTAGCCAGTAGAGAGCTCTCCCCCTCCCCTCTTTCGCAGGATGGAGAAGAGAGATCCCTCTTCCTCCTTCCTTTTTTCACTAGGAGCAATAAAGATCCTACCTCCTCCACCCTTCTTCAAATGAAGAATATTTCTGTTTGACCAGTCATAATCAGATGCAAGTAACACGGGGCTATTAAATTCCAAGCTACATTTCCCAAAAAAGAAAAAGAAAAAAAAAAACCTTCCACTGATCTTTTTGTTTTTCTTTATCCGAGTTCGAAAGTTTGATGTTTTTGCTTTCATTTCATATAAAATACACAACTTCACCCCATTATGTGCTATTTCACCTTGATTTAATTAAGAGGTGAGAGTGGTTTCGCATAATATATTGCCCAACTTCAAAGCCTGTTTTCTTATTTTCATATTTCCGCACCATGCAGTATTAAATTTTCCATATTTTCTCAAATATTGTCCGACTGAGATTTAGGTTTTTTTATTTAAAGTGTAGGGAAAAAGTGATATTTTTTATAAATAGATATATTTTTTAACTCAGTACGTGGAATCTCCAACGTCTGATTTATAACTGGCACTCACACAAAAAAGGTTCCACACTCCTATTTCCTTTAGCACCAAAGGGAGACATATCCAGATGAGCAGAGTACTACTCCCTCCCAGCTCTCCAGGCTTCAAACTTCCCAACAACCACAAACCAGTCATAACCCTGAGCCGGCCCCACGCCCATGATCTCCTTTGCATCAGCTGCAAGATGTACACAGCCATTACCCAAAGCCTGTATTCAGTCCTCAAAAGCATTCAGATCGTCATGTTCACACATGCACTCAGGTCCATAGCTTTAAAGAATGTGAATTTAAAATATATTCTTTCACACATAATGCACAAGAGATCCAGTTGTATCCACAGCAGCTAATCCCCAAAAACTGACAAATTTCACATAGACATTTTTTTCAGTAAAAATCCTGCTGTTTGACATCTTGAGGAAGGAAAGTCAGCGTTTCACCCTCATGAGTGGGGTTGTGAAATAATGCACAGAAAGCAAAATACTGCTTGATGAAAACAAATAACATTAGGCATTGGTCACAAATGTCAACAGGTATAAAACCCCACTAATCCTTAATATGTTACAAATGTTTTTGAGGTTTGCTCGAACAACAAGTACATGTGGTCGCCTTCCAAAATAAAGGACCAGGGACATCAGAAAACGGCGTTCAAAAAGACAACTGAAACAGTCAGCCGAGAAAAACTTCTGGGCCCCTCTGGGTGAAGTCTGGAAGTACTTGATCCAGCCACATCATCCTTCAAGAACAGACCTCACTGGATGTCTGGAAATATCCGAAAAAGCCACAATGCCCTTTCCTAAGAATGCCCGTAAATATCCAATTATGAACACTCTCTACTCTGCCTTTGTCCGCTTAGGAGAAGGGGGCCCAGCGTCTACGGTCTGTGAGTCTCCGGCCTCCGACGAGTCTATCCTAGGCTGGAGGGCTGAGAAACACGGGGTTGGGTTCTCCTTCACAAAGCTCAGGTACTGTGGCATCAGCCGCTCGACCCGCTCCTCAAACAGCCCGCGGACAATCTTGCCAGCTTTACCAACCTCAGAGCCTGCCTGTGGGAAGGAAAAAAACAGGAGAGTCATGTCACATGCCATTTCAATTTTGTTGAAGTAAGAATTTTACAGCACTTTTGTTTTAGTTTTAGTAAAAGTTCAACAGCACTGCAACACGAGAACAGACAGAGAGAGACAGAGAGGGAGAGAGAGAGAGGGAGAAAGAGGGAGGGAGGGGGAGAGAGAGAGAGAGAGAGAGAGAGAGAGAGAGAGAGAGAGAGAGAGAGAGAGAGAGATGCAAGCATTCACTGGACGCAAAACTGAACTTACAATATAATCATAACACGTACAGAATATGTTGTATACCCGAGTACGGTAAATTTATCGCTTTTTGTCATTTTCTTTATTCTCATGGTGACAAAACTACAGAGTAAATGAACATTAGTTTACTAAACTCTTGAAAAGTAAACACTGCAGTAAAGAGTAACCCTTAAATAGGGTTTGACATAGCTTTAAAATTTTTTTAGTGTAAACACTCTTTAGGGGACTTCAGAAAGCCGACATTACTGCTTAGAGTACTTTTCCAGCCCAGAATCTACTACGTGTACTTAATTTTTTTTTAACTGTACTGCATTACACATTGCCTTGTGGTAAGCTATGCCCTTCAGCCTTGAGGGGAAGGGAAGCAGACATGGTTATTGGATCATGATGTCCCACACACTTGCCGCTCACACTCCCCTCACTGTTTCATAGGGGTACTATGCAGGCAGGCCCCTAGCATGTTAATCGACTCTACATGATTTCATTTTTTACTTGAGTCAAAACTGCTGTGAAATATCCGACAATACACACACAAAAAAATCAATTCAGCTGTTGCATTCTTGCAGCCGAGGATAAAAAAAGAGCACTTTAACCCAAATGTATCTACCTGTGAGTTGAATTCAACCATAATGTTTGACTTAAAAATATAAAGGAGATGAGGCGCTAGAAGCCAAGAAAAAGATCAACTTAACCAAAAATCAACTCAAGCAGTTTCAACACGAGTGGAGTCCGACAGTATAATGCGGGGGGGGTTGTCTATACTGTGATTTGTGAATATGCCTTAACTTGGATTTACTTGGATCCAGAGCTAGAATCATAGCAGGCGGCACATGTCCATAGCTGCTCATCTCTCCTTTCCAGCGTCCACCTCAGGGTCTTCCTGCTAATTGTCTCCATGAGGAGCTGGTTTGAGACACGCCTGACCACTCCTCGGAGCAAACTTTTTTTCGCTGTGCCCCGCACACACTTTCCTTTTATTTTGTTGAGTGTGTGGGAGTCTGACTCCTCTTGGTTGTGAAGGCTCTCCTTGCATCTCGCGATCACCATTGGTGGGTCGAGCATGATTCGGCCATTGGGTGCTGCTTTGCCGGCAAGTTCATCAGCACGCTCATTTCCGTGCACCCCGGCGTGACCAGGGCAGAACACCCATGTAATTCTTAGGAGGTGGCTATTTGCAATGGAAGCTCTCCAGTCACTGTAGAGCCACCCACTCCTGATTTTTTCTAGGGTGCTCATCGAGTCTGTGACAAACAGGGCATGTTTATACGCTTCCATGCTGATCCATTCCAGTGCCTCTGTTATTGCCTTGACCTCCATTGCCATGCTCGACGTAGTGCACTCGTAAGCTCCAGACTGTTCTTTAATTATCCTACCGTCAACTCGAGCACTGAACGCCCATCCAGATTTCTGGCCACGCCTCACTGATCCGTCGGTGAAGACGACAACATCACCCATAACTGAATTTTCCTCTAGGATGGCCACAATTTCCGCATTAGTTGCACTTGCTGGCCACTCGCGACACTCTCGAACTAGCGTAGCTATCACCTTCATGAAGTTGCTCATGTCTTTCTCCGGCCTCATCCAGTCACATCCTCTTCTTATGTCCTCGATTTCACAGCACATATCGAGAGTTCGCTCCGCCTGCACCATCCATGAAGATCCTCTTTTCAATCTTTGGCGTACTTGATTTCCTATTTTCGGATGTAGAGGGTGACATTCGTCTGCTGTTACTCGAAGGTAGGCCTTGACTTGTGCTAGCTTGTGTCGGTGGGTTAACGTTGGCAGGTCCAGCAGATATCTCATCGCTGATGCTGCTGTGTCACGGGTGCATCCAAGAACAGTTCTCATTCCTTCATTTTGAATGACTTCGAGGCGATGTAGTTGGGTTTTGGATAGGGTGAGCATACCAAGGCCATAGTCCACTACAGACAGTACAACCGTTTGAAGCATGATCATAAGGGCGCGTTGGGGCATAGATGCAGCCATCACTCTCAGTGCGACAAGTCCTTTCCTTGCTCTGGTGATAATGTTTGTCACATGGTCTTTAGCCGAGAGGGTGCGGTCAAAAGTAATGCCCAGGTACTTCAATTTCTCTTGCCTTTCCAACTGCGTACCTTGTATATTGACAGTAGGCATGATAGCCTTGACTGCTCTGTTGTTGAGACTGGTCCACAGTACCCCTGCCTTCGCTGGATTAAGTTTTCCATTGTTCTGTTCGCACCATTCACCAATTCGATCTAATTCCTCCTGCATGCTTCTTGCAATCAGCTCACGATGTCTCCCCTGCCTATATACCAATACATCATCCACAAAGCTTAGCGGCTAATTGATTGGCTGTAAGACCGATGGTGTATATATTGAACAAGACTGGTGACAGGGCCAATCCCTGGGGCAGTCCTGGGGTTATGGTAATAGGTTCAGAAGCCCAGCTGCCAAGGCGCAAGGAAACCTTTCTTTTTAACAAGGCATTTCCTACCCAGATCACCAATTCAGAGTCGATTTTCATATTGATCATAGTTTGCATGACCAAGCTAAAGGGCACCCGGTTATAAGCATCTTCTAGATCTATTGCGGCGACTAGTGTCTCTTTTCCCTCCTCAAAACCGTCGTATATGTCGGAGGCCAAAATTGCCGCATTCCTCCAGGTGTCCTTACTAGGGCGGTAGCTGCCAAGTTCCACAGGTATCAGATTGTTGCGCTCCAAGAAATTGGACATCCATCTGGACACCATTTTTTCCATTAGTTTCCCCACCGTGTTTTGCATTGTGATAATCCTGTAGGACTCAATTTTTGTGGGGTCCTTCCCGGGCTTTGGCAGGGGTGTAAGATAACTGTCCAGCCAATCCCGAGGAACCAACCCGTCATGCAAACTAGTATCCAGGATGTTTGCGAGACTCTCCAAGTTGCGGTCATCCAGATCCTCGATGTGGGAATAACGCAACCCATCCGGGCCTGGTGCTGTGTCAGGTGTCGTCTTTAAGTATATTTCGAACAGCCTCCAATGTGACTTTTAACTCTTCCTCTCCTTCCCAGTATCTTCCTTCTATGTCCCTTAGAATGCTTGTTCTTTCGTTCTCATTGTTCTGATTTCTTTTCCGCAGGTATCTGTTCAAAAGAGCCTGTCCTTTCTCCTATTCTGATCTAACCCACGTACTGTCCTCTGTCTGAAAATCAGGGAGGCATATGCCTTAAGAACTCTATAAAACTTATTTTCCACATGGCCTTAAAATTCAGCACTTCTCCTGGTCACAGGGACCTTTCCTTTCATCATAGGTCAGAACATTTCAAGTACAGCTGCCCCACCAGGAGAACAAATGTCCTAGAAAGCGTCAACGTCTTTTTTGGGGGTAAGTGTTTTACTGTGCTCGTAACTGCATACAGTAATATAACCGTGGCACGGGACACTCATTAAGCATTTTCAGTTTGGTCGGAATTAATTTTCATTTTGCCCCGGTGGCAGTTGAAGCCTATTCTTATCGATTTTAGGACCACAAAGGGATCTTGCACACGAGACCTCAGAGATTTTTTCACTCTTATCCAAGAATAGATGTTAGTCAGGGGTGTGGCTGAAAGACAGCAGTAAGAAGGAGCCATAGAGTAGCAGTAGAAAGCTGTCAGGTTTCAAACCGAAGACCTATGGAATGAGAGGCGAACACCGTACCTCTAGCTCGTAAGAGCCCCGTCAATGTCTGAGCTGTGAAACTTTTTAAAAAAATTATAGTGCAGCCAATGTGCAGCCAACTTTGCAGACGAGAGTACATTCTTTATTATTTTGTGCTGCCATATGCTTGTGTTAAAGCAGGAAGCCTTTTGAAACAAAATATTTTTAAAATTTGGTCATGCAAGTCCCGGCATTTCAAAAACCTTTAGACAGATTCAATCAATCATCCCCCCCCCCCAACTCTACTTTATATTGGGGAAAAAGTAGAATAGCGAGACATGTCTATGGCTCATTGACATTATAGGTAGAGTCACGCTGCATTAAGCAGAATGTTTCTAAACTGTTAACTATGTATTTTTTTGGGTGAAATGTACAGAAATAACGAAAGCTTTAACTTAACAGAAAAAGCAAGGGAAATACAGAATTCATTTGCTGCTTGCAGTTGACATAAAAAAATCATTTGTCACGCAGAAGCGTGTCCAAATTCCATTCTTAACTCTATTTATCTTCACAAAACCTTGTGTTTGCTATAACGAACACTCGGATTCAACGAAGTTTTAGGTCAGGCCTGGCGACCTCGTTGAATCCGAGTTCCACTGTAGATGATTGATAGGAAAGAAGGAGCAAACGACACCAGAGCACCCGCCAATCACCCCACCCCCCTCCAACAAACACCCACACAAATTCTATACTAGGGGGCCATTTTATGAAATCCTCAAGTTGACATGAAAATAGGGACTCCGAAAATTATGCAAGGATTTTTATCTTATCAGAACTACATTTTGTTTAGTTATAGTGTTTTACAGCACTTGTAACACAGTAAGGTCATTTAAGTGCCAAAGATTAGATGTGTTACAAGAGAGTAACAAACACCAAAAAGATGGAGGGGAGATAAAGACGATACATGTTTGATAGGAAAGAAGAAACAACCCACACACGAGCACCCGCCAACCACCCACAGAACTACATTCTTCTCCAAGTTGAGTTGACTTCGAGTAGAGAAAAGTATGTTGATGTAAAAACTATTATTCACAGCTGGAAAAAGTAAGACACACAGAAGGAAGGGAAGGGAAAGAAAACAAGTTAGATTTACCAGTGGCATCTTACCACCATCCATCTTTCTTAGTTTTGCTCAAACAAAAGAATAATTTTATTCATAAAAAATATTTTAAATAACAGACATAAATAAATCACTTACCTTGTTATATATTGCACAGTTGATGAAGATCTGTCTGAGGTCATACAGAAAAGCTTTGATGCTCTGGTAGTGGTTGTGGTGCCTTCGCTGGAGCTTACACTTGATCTGTGTGAAGTCTACCGGCTGGGTGATGATTTTGTAGTAGTTGGGGACTTGCTGTGAGAGGAAACGGTTGAGACAGGCATCATAAAATATGAACAAAGAAATAGTTGAGACTGGTGCAATTTGATACGAGAAAATAAAACAGCTGAGTGAGACAGTTGTAATTACACATAACAATTTGAAATGAGACAAGAAACAGTTGTGAGAGGCAGTTGTGATTTCATAAGAAAAAAGAAACGGTTGAAGCAGCCATGATTTCATATGAGAAAAGAAACAATTGAATGAGATAGTTGTAATATGTGAGAAAAGAAACAGTAGAGTGAGACAGTGGTAAATTCATATAAGAAAAACATACCAGAAACATAAAACTCAACAAATACTATACCTGTATACTGCCAGCTTATCAAGTTTATAACAAAAAACAACAAACCAAACATATAGATACCACCCGAATGACACCTTTTTATAAAAAAGAACAACAATCCTCACTGCAAATCAGTCATGGGATATGAGGGAGGAGAACACTGAACAACATATCTCCAAGCTAGAAAACCTCGATGGAAAATCAGTCAGGTAAACAAAGAGATAAAAAAATAAACAAATACATACCACCCTGTTGACTGGTTCTTGAAAAGGGACGCTGGATGGGTGACAGAACAACTCCAGCAGGATTCTCTCACACACCTGCAGGGCCCACAGGATAACCATTGTTTTCAGTTTAGTTAGTAAGAATTTTACAGTAATTAAACACATTTAGACCATATGTGATGAACATTAAAGGCGTTACTAGATAAGATAGTAACCTAAAAATAAAAGGAGGAGGAGAGATAAAGACGATAGATGTTTGATAGGAAAGGAGCAAACCACACAACAGCACCCCACAACCACCATTAATGACCATTTAGAGAAAGGACACAGAAATACAGACGGGGTAAACAGAAAAAGAAAGAAAAGAAGCATGATCTACCAGCAGCGCCCTATAATCACCTTCAAAATTTCTGCTTTCACACAGACTTCAAATTCAAAGTTATTAAAAAACAAATTTCAGGCAGTAACAACAACCTTTTTGACCATTGCTAACGATAATGTAACCAGTACAAGATATTTATTAGTTTCTTCAACAGTTCAAAGCTTTCAGTGAGAAGCAAACACTGGGACTCTGGGATGGATCCTGAAGAGGGGGGGAGAGCAGAGATGGACATATTCCGACTGCAGTGACCCCAACACAGTGGATAAGTAAGACAAGTAAGACCAGTAAGCAAACACAAGTTTCCTTCTTTTTGGCTGTTGATCATCTAACAGTAACAGAAGACAATTTAGTTTAGTTTAATAGAGGTTTTACAGCATTCGCAACTGCACCACAAGAGTGCGACAAACATGCAAAATAAGTCGAGGAAAAATGACGATAGTAAGAATTATGAAAGAAAAAGCAGCAGTTCCCTGTTGCAGTTCAGGTAGTTAAGAGCATGACATTGATGAATCAGCTCATTGACAATTATATTTCTACTGTGCATAGGAACATGGTTTATGTCCCCCCTTTGGGAATGGCCTAAAGACACTTCAGTCAACAGATCCGCCCCAGGGAGTGTAGAAGACAATACACAGCAACAATTTGTCCAATATGAGAGAGGTGGGGATAGGAGGGAAAGAAAGACTGACAGACACAGACAGACACATACACAGACAAATACACACATTGACGCACACACACACAAGCACACATTACACACACACACCTCCAACCACCCCTCCTTTACTCACCCGAACCTCCTGATCAGCCAGACCACCCGGAGCCTTCCTCTTGCCCGTGCTCGTGATCTCCTCGGGGTCCACTGGCTTATCGCCGTCACACAGTGTACACACAAACGATCCACTGGAAGAAAAGGCATAAAGTTGTGGTCATGGTTGAGTTATTATATAACATCCATGTGTCGGACACAGAAGGGCACTCTCCCAAGTAGCCTGTATTGAAGGACAGACCAAACACTTTGGACTTCAGTTCAAACTTCTTGTGAATACGTCATGTATTTCTACTTCTTGCGTGTTCACATCACATATTGACCCTTGCGGATGTATCGCGGATATATCGGCAATGATAGGGTGCCTCATTTTTGTTTTGTTTTAACGTGATCCGTCATTTGTAAGTACTTATTATTGTTATTAAAAACTTGGAAAGGATTTAGAAAACGAAAAAATCTAGCTTCACTTTTTCAAGGTGTCGGTTTGTCGAAAAACGAGTGACTTAATTCTTGCAGTCTTGAATCAACAAAACGATGTAACCGGACTCAGTAGAAATATCATAACTCAAACAAAACTTGGAATGTTGCTTTCAAATAAAAAGCTGTGCATTCAAAAATTAATGGACTATGCCCATGGCCTGTATATGATAACATAGCTATGCTAATTTGTTTTCCCATATTTGGTGAGAGTGATTTTTTCCGCCAAATTTTATTTCCTCATCACCATCACCCATTCTAACCCTTGTAACCCTTGTAATGCATGCTTATGTTCCAAATTAATCCTTGTTTCATGTTTGAATGTATTCCTCATTCAATTTTCGTCAATTTGATATATCATGTCATATGTTACCTTTTGAGGGATGGTTACGTTTACATGAAGTTATTTTGTACATCACCCCCAAGTAGCCAAATTGATCCACAAGTTAATTACGTCTAGACCCAAAAAAAGTATGTCCAGAGAGAGTGAAGTATTTGATATGATCAGAATTAAATCTTTTTTTTTTTTTTTCCAGTTGGCCCATTTGTGTCCGACACTAATAATGAAGTTCACAATAAGTCAGCTAAATAGGGGTAGCATCCCAACAATTTGAATGACAGAGAAACACATCGACAAATTGCGCTCAACAAGTGCTAGGAAAAAGCAAGACAAGCAGAAACAACAGAAGAAAGAAAAGAAGTAGTAAGACCTACCAGTGGTGCCCTCCAACCATCATTCCATTCAGACTGAAACAGATCGTAAGAACACTAGTAAAAACAATAATAATTAGCATCATTTCTTTACTACCTACTTCAGTGTTGTGAAGACAAAACGGTGGTAACACAAAAAAGTGGCGGAAGAGCCAAATGCCACCAACCTTCAGTTTGACAATTAAACATAGATATCTGCTAACATCAAAAGGAAGAAGTACAAGAAGCAGACCACTCCAGCCACACATTCCAAAAAGACAAGTCTTTGTAAAAGTTTAAGTAAGAGTTTTACAGCACTTGCAACACAATAAGGTCGTATAAGTGTCGATGATTAGAGGTGTGACAAGAGAGTAACAAACACAAAAAAGGACGAGAGATAAGGACGATAGATATTTGACAGGAAAGAAGGAGCAAACCACACCAGGGCACTCTCCAAACAGCCCACGAACAAATAAGATGTATACAACATAAACAGGGCACAGCCCAACAACCTGAGTGTAAGAAAGTCTGTAATTGTGTTATATTGTCAACAGGGTGCCACTGATGAATGACGGAACGCACATACTAAAGAACCCATTGTAAAATAGATTTCTCCACCAGGATAAATATAAGTCATATGAGCTTTGAAAAAATTTCCACAGATAACCAATTTGAGAACTGCACTAAACATGAGAATTTATATCATGTGCTGCGTTTCCCCACTAGGATAAACAAATGTTACATTTTAGTTACTTATTGTATTTTTATTTACATATCAAACCTCCTTCACCCAAGGGATCAATAAAGTTTGTAATGGGGTTGGGGGTTGTTTTTCAAAAATGAAGTCCCCCACCTTGGCACAGCCGTGAGCTCAGGAATGTGACACTGCAGGTGGAAGACCTTGGGACAGCGGTCACAGCAGAGCACATCGCCCCCATTGTGACAACAGGCACAGTAGTCGTCATTCGGGTCCACGTGGTGATCAGCCTGGGACAGGGAGAAGCCAGGCATGCTGTTGCCGCCCTGCCAGTTTTCCCGCAGCTCTTGGTCCGTAGGCGACCTCGAACCTACACGATTTTAAAAAGGTAACATAACAAAAGCAAATTGATACCGTATCTGGAATTGGTTATTTTAAAAATAGGTGTTTACAACAAAACAATACGAAGAGGATCATTTCATAATTGCACATAAATTAGCCGCCCTCCACATACACACACATATATGCAGAATACACAGGTGCATATGTTTAACAACCATTCTTTTCTCTCTCTCTGTATCTCTCTCTGTATCTCTCTCTCTCTATCTCTCCCCCCTCACATGCGCGTACACGCATACAAAGACAATCTTTACTCATCTGCAGGGAAAAATTTGTCTTGGTTGTTAACAATGGCAGTAGACGTTAAAAAGGTTAGGAGCACTCATGCATACGCACAAGACAGAACATTAGTAAGTAAATGTCTCATGTGCTAGAACAACCCGCTGCCTCCTTCCCTCCCTCCCTCCCCCCTCGTTTTACTGTGGGTCAATAATTGAAATTCCATTGCCAGTGGGGCGGTTATGGTCACTAAGCGTTATTTCTGCCTTTTTTAGAATGTTTGTTTTGTGCAGATATTCAGTTACTTAGGTCTCTACCACTTGCTCTTGATGCCTTTCTGATCAACTTGTTTATTTGTATGATGTGCTGCCTTCCCAAATTGCTACACTTCCTATTCCTGCTGGACACTTTCACATAAGCATAACTTATGTTGTTTATGCCATTCTGCAGCATACAAGGCGGTTTTACACATCGCGACCTCAAGAGCTGTCTTGTCGCATCTACATTTTTTAAAATATTGAAAATGTGACTTCTTAAGCTCACTCTTTGTTATGAACTGTTTTCACTGTTATTAAAAAAGGAGATGCAACAAGAAACAACAAGAAAGCACTGAGGTCGCGACATGCACGCACGCATGCACGCACAAACACAAAGGACACTCGCGACATGCACGCACGCACGCATGCACAAACACAAAGGACACATATTTACATAACCTACGTTCTTTCTGCTGTTCTATGGCGGGTGAGGTTGGTTTGGACTTGTTACTCTCAGAGGTCGAGCTCTTCGTACCACCAATTTGTTCCAGGTTGTCGCTCATATCCATTGGAACTGCCCGGATCACATCATCCAGATTCCTTTGCATTTCCTGAAAGAAAATATATAAACTAGTTGCGAAAAAATGCGATTAAAAAACACCGTAGAAAATGAGACTGCCTCCAGTTTTTGGGGTTCAGATCTTAAAATTATGGAGAGACCACTTTTTAGCTGTAAAAAGTAAACTCTCATAGAAAAGGACAATATATATAAAGGGTATGACTAAAAAATTATGTTCACTGTAATAAAAAAAAAACCATCAACCAAATAACAACCATTTAGCGTTGGGAAGAAAGTAAGTAAGACAGACACAACAGAGAGAGAAGAACAAGTAGTAGGACCTAAAAGTAGCCCCACTCACCCACCCATTGAGAAAATATGCATTTGCACTGTAAAGACAATTAAAAGTCACCTATTGAAAATGAGACACTCAAATTTTTCGTATCTTAGAACTGACAGAGGGGGGAAAAAAAAGTAGGACCTACCAGGGGCGCCCTCCAACAACTCGCCCTCGTTAGTAAAAGGGAAAGGTATTATAATAACTATAGATTGTGATCACAAGCTCTGTGCTCTACAGACAACAGAAAAATAAACAAGGAGTTTATAAATAGACACATTTTGAACCTAAAAGACACAACACAACCATAGGGACACTCCGTGAGTACACAACCATAACCCAAACTTATTTACCTAGTTATTTCAAAAAGTAAGTTGTGGTTTTTACAGCAAAAAAGAAAACATTTTGATTTGCACGATCCCACTGAGACTTAATTCCCTTTTCAATGGCTATAAATACGGCCACAAAACTCACCAACACAGTTTCCGATAATCTTGGATTCTGAGGACAAAAAAAGAAATTTATTGATCTATGACTCTGTACAACACTTAACCTTTAAAATCTTGTCTACTTAACTAATCAACGACTCTCCTCAGGATTCATATGTGATGCTGCTGACAAAATGAGTTACTTCTCGCGGTCCCTAAATGGAGATATCAGCTGAAAATCAACACGAGGCCAAATTCGTACATTTTCAACAGATACCATTTTCTTTGAGTGTAACAGGTCTTTTTTATCATTTCAAATTAATTCATTGTACAAACTCAATCTATAAATTTTACATTGTTATTTCCACAGGTCCAACATGCAAGAAGTAACTCATTTTGCCAGCACACTTCACATGTCTTCGCATCAACTTAATCGAAGACTTTGAGAACAACAAAATTTAAGAAACTTAAAACTTAATCCGAAAAGTTTTTTGGGGTCTATACTGCTAGCATCTGCAAAGACTTGTACAATGAATGCCACGTAATTGAACTATCAAAAAAACATATTCATGTCAACAACATTCCACATTCAAGTTAATCAAAATCAGAGATGTTAACCAAAAAAAAAACCCCCAAAAAAACCTCAACAAGGAACTCACTGGTGGTGTGGTCTGGAACACAGACGGGCGTTCACTCTTGAGATGCGAGGAGGTTATGACACAGTCCGGCGACTGGTCTCTGTGCTCTTTCTTTATGTCCACCATCGCTGGCCCTCCACTGCAATGCAAAAGGTAGTTGTTGTCACTTTATAGTGCAGACATACCAGCAGATGTCATGTCAGGGAACAGGTTTAAAATCACCCACGCTGCTCAATTAGCAGTTTTAAAAAAAACTCTTGGTAAGCTCAGTGACCTTGACCCACTGTAAAACAGCATCAATTACCAAAGTTTTTAGCACCTCTCGTTGTTCCTTCATCAGGAATTATTACCAAACATTTGTAGTATAAGGCAAAGGAATAAATATAGATCATTTACCACCCTACATCCCACACAATTTTGTTTGCTTAAGTACAAAACTATTAAATAATATCTCAAAGGCTCTTTCATATATATATATGTGTAGATCCTATATCTGCCCTGTAAAAACAAAGGTAGACTGGCTTTGAACAGGATCAAGTGGACTGGTTATGATGTAGTCTATGTGACAAGTCTCTCAAATTTCTGATTGCTGAATCTATGCAGGATGCGAGAGTTTCATCCCCACACCCTGTAGTTTATTAAATAGTTCTGTCTTTTCTTCAGGGCTAGGCACCCAACAGGTAAAGTCAATAAAGCTTGCCTCCTACACAATCTAAATTGTGTTAAGAGAGGTTTTCCTTTACAATCAGTATAACAACACCACATATGATGAAGCCAACAAGCCATAACTTTGCAGCCAAAACTCACCTATCTGGTCGCGAGTTTCCGTCATACATTCCAGCACTAGCGGGCCGTGCGGGATCAGGTGTCCCATGAGTGGGGCGGGATGTGCCACTCGCCTCGCCCCCCATGCGGTACTGGGGAGGGCTGCGCATACTGTTTTGATTGCCTGGAAAAAATAGGCATTTGACACAACATAAAATACTGATACAGTAGTCTCCGCCTAAGATCCCGGTGCTCGGGAGCAAGGAAATGCGAAATCTTAGGCGAACCGGGATCTTACCCGACGAACCCAGGGAAGAATATAATATGGTGACCCATGCTAAGGCTCACAATCAGTAAAATGGTCTCCCTCCACTCTAAAATGAACTGACGTGACCGCTTGTTGGGTTTATGATGTATGGCGAGCAAAGAGTGGTTAACCCTGATGACCTATCACAGTGCATAGTGGGATGAGGCATACTATTTTCACTTCTTATCATATCATGAGTCTCAAGATCTACGCTTCTCCAGTTGCCCCTCCCCCTTCCCTGTCGAAAATTTATAGCTTTCCATCTCTGACCGAGTTCCCCCCCCACCCCCAACCGCCTTTGTCGTTACACACAATTACGTTGTTGACACACCAATTAAAATTCAGTCTGTCTCGCAAATTCGGGAGGAGTAGAGACAACTTCTGCAATGGTCAGGGAAGAGTTCACAGTTCGATGTGATCCCGCCTGGAGCGAACATGTAGGCCCTACTCACCCAGCGAGTGATGTAAGTTTAGGGGGAGAGCTCCGGTGTGAGTGTGATGTTTAGGGAAAACAAACGTGTCGGTCAGTTCACACCCTGGTGTGATCCGGTCTGGGGCAAACATTGTATCGCTTCATCAAGTTTTACAACATGTATGTGATCACATTCACGATAGTGGCTGATCTTTGACGCGACGGACAGTTTATTGATCTCAACTTTTCACTGTAAGTTGATCGGCTGTCCCGCCCGCGTTTTTGTTCCGCGAATTATGATCTGAAATGAGGAATCATAGCCGAATGTAGACCTTCAGAGCGAATCAGAGCGGGATCTTAGGGGTGACTTTTGTATAGTAAAAATTCTGTTTTCTTAAAACAGCGGGATCTTAAGCGAACCGGGATTGTAAGCGGTGGGATCTTAGGCGGAGACTACTGTACTACAAACAATGATGTTTCATAGAAAAACGTATGTTTTCAAGGCTTTGTTAGATGGTGCATATACAGATGACGTCAACCCCTAATGAACACTTAGTCTCAATATTGCGTCACCAAAATATAGCGCTTAGATGATATCTTAACAATCATAGCTTCACACAACTCGTCTCGTTACATATATATATCATACTTACTTTTTTCGGTAAGTGTTTTACGGCGCTCGCAACAGCATAAGGTCATATGAGCACGCAGGAGACACCTAACATTTTCAGTTGGTAGGAAATTTTGAATTTTACGTGGGTGGCAGCCGAAGCCTACTCTTATCGATTTTGGACCACCAAGAGATATTTAACGTGCGCAACTTGCACAAGGAACTTCCTAAATTTTTTGCCCTTGTCCGAGAAGGCTAGGTGTAGATCTTTCCTACCATAAGATCAGGGGTGTGGCTGAAAGACAGCAGTAAGGACTCCAAGGAGAAGCAGTGGAAAGAGTCAGAAGCCCAGAGGAGGGGGCAAATGAGGTATGGGGGTGGGGGCAGAAGGTGGAGACGAAAGCAGACGACAGAACATTGCAAGAGAGCAGGAAAGGAGGTGAAAGGAGACAAATTTAGAGAAGACAATTTTTCTGTCGCTACCCGGATTTGAACCGGGACCTTTGAATGAACGGCAAACACCTTAACCTCTAAGCCACGAGAGCCCCCATACACACTCAAACCTGTGTAAGACGGAATCGAAAGGGAGCCAGAAAAAAATTCCGTCTAAGACAAGGGAATTTAGCCAGGAGATGGGGGGGCAGGGGGTCAAAGGCCCAGCCAGTGAAATCAACAAAGGTCGCTTGTCCGGTCGGCAAGCAATCACAAGTGGTCAAAATTTCACACCTCTCACCTGCTATCCTCTCTGATAATGACATGGGACAGTTCTTATTTATCCAATTACCACCAGTGCTTGCATTTCATAGGACCACTGTTAGGCCTATTAAAAACAAACCTTTGAACAACTCCTTTGCTTCCACCCCTAGCCCCATCCATCGGTGTAATAAGCACAGTCAACCAACAACCCCTCCCCACCACGTAACAACGATTCGAGGAACTCTTTTCTCAGGTGGGCGTACGATCAGGGCGGCAGGCATTGGTCAAACTAATTTCACACCTCTGGCCTCTTGCTACCAATGAAAGGTGTGTGCTGGAGCGCCACTCGAGCACTTTCACTGACACTCGTGAGATTTCACACCCACACCATCCTGACCATCTTCATCGCTCAGGGCTCACATAGATGGGGTAATATCTATCCTCAAATTGCACTCCTACTTCCCTTCCTCGCCCAGCAGCATAGCATGTTTAGAGCCAGCGGACGAAACCAAACAAGCGAGTTTTGTTTCAAATCAGGACCGCGAACGGGCAAAACATTTTCCGTCTTAGACAGGTAAAACCCTTGGAAGGGAGCAGATTCTTCTTTCCGTTTCCGCGTTGGACAGGCTTCCGTTTTATACAGGTATTTAAAGAGGACTATACCAAGGGGGGAGCAGGGAGATTCTGTTAAGACAGGTTTCCATTAAGGCAGGTTCGACTTTATACATACTATTTTCTAAAAGTTGTATTAGAGGGTCCAAGTTGACCGTAAAACTCAACTGTTCAAGTTCAAGACCACCGAAGTAGAGTCCAAGTAACAAGAAGCACACAGAAAACTGAAAGCAAAGTAAATCTCATAATATACAAATGCTGTTTATATTATTTTTATTATTATTATATTATTATTATCATTATTACTCACTCTGCTCATTCTGGGAGAACTGCGACTGCGTCGCTGGCCGGTGGTGTAATCTCATCGGTGTGAAGGACGATCTTGTGGTCTAAATAAAAAAGAGGTACATGATCAGCATTTAGATTTTTAGTAGATCAGCTTTGGGTAGTTATCCTAATACAGTCGAATCTGTCTTGGACAGCCACCCATTGTCAAGGACAGAAGTGGCCATCTTACACAGTATTATTATGATGAACAAATATATGCAAGGTAGGAAATGGGAAATGGCCACTTGTGAAGGTGATTTTCTAATACAGATGGCCATTACAACAGATTCGACTATAGTTCCAAATAACTATTCCAACAAAAAAATGGAAGGCCATAAGTAAACTGCTACAAAAATACAACAACAGACAACATTTAGTTTGAGATAAGAGAGGGACATTGATACAAAAATGATGGGTATGTGAACAGTAATACAATATAACTCAGCACCAAGCCGACTTTCAGTTGTTTCGAGATTTCAAGGCTCCCTACTTGCTAACTCCATCATGCCTATGAAACCTTACAATGTTGAAAGGGACCATAAACCTATGTAATATAACAACACAACACACACCACATGCCAACTATCACTTTTTTAAAAAGATCCAAGTCCAAAAGGCAGAAAAAGACCGTGGGAGTAAATTCTAATGCAGAAAACTTACTAGTATTACACTAAGACAAAAAACAAACCACACATACCTGCTGCTGCTGAGGAGTGAGAAGTTGCCCAGCAACTAGGTGCCCAGCGAAGGTGGAGCCCCCTGGAATTCCTGGTGGAGCTGCTGAACGAAAACGTAGCCCTTTCAGTACAGGGAGAAAATACAACAATTACTGTTCCATAGAAACGCATGGTTCTGATCAGTGCAAGTCTTGTGTCATCATGCCCTCTCTAATTTTTTTAACACACTAGACCAAAAATATTTCCCCATTTGTTCAATTGAAGAAGTTATTGTATGCATACCAGGAACAATACAAATAAAAATGTTATTCCACTTAGAAAACATTTTACAGACCGTGTGAGAAAAGATGGCATGACGTAACAGGCTACAGCATTTTCAGCTCCATCCTACAATAGCATCCCTTTCCAGTCCAGGTCACTCTGTGAGTCTCAATCACACTCAGTATAAGCAAAGCAAGAACAGCAATGAACACTGAGACATCATTGGAAACCTTCCACAAAGTAACATGTCCTGTAATGAGGCACGAAAGAAAATCTATGAAATTGAGAAAACCATTTTACAATACTAAAAACCAAGACCTAACACCTTAGGGGCCAGCATTCATTTGGCCACACATCAGTCATGTCCATGGCCGCCAACTACATTTTCTGAGAAAAGATATATCCACAGCATAGACAAAAATCTTTTTAGATCTAAAGTAAATGTGTGCAAAAAATCAAGAATATGTCGACTTTTTTGGAAGCCAAAGTACATGCGCCTAACAAATGAACTAGAGAATATAATTTCTCTTTAGCCAATATTTAAGGAATGTAAAATAGATATACACAGTTCATCACCAGAAAGAGTCAAACACAAACCTGCCCAAGGCTGTGGCATGCCGGAGGCCTGGCCTCGTCGGTTGGGCAGGGTCAGTTGCGGAGGGAGAGAGGCACCGGGACCCAGAGCTGATAGAGTCATGTTAGGAGGGGCATGGGGCTGGCCCGATGGTTTGGACACGGTCTGAATGAACTTGGTCCACTCAGCAGACGGAACCTGTTGGCCTGGGATAGGCTGGCAGTTGGGGAGAAATAACACTTAACATTTATCACACTTTAAGTTTGAGCAAAGAGAAGTATACTAACATGATAACAGAAAAAGAAAAAGCTGGACAGACAGGTAGAAACAACAGAGGGGAATGACAAGAAGCATGACCCACCAGCAGAAATAAATGTTACCAGGCAGTGCAAATGGATATCAAGGAGACAAGGATTATGAATAAATCTTATTCTTCTTCTACACCTTCCCCATCTAGACCTCAGGGGTAGTCAACAGCTGAATCTTCAGCATGCAGTGCAACAGACTTTTATATGTATGACCATTTTTCTTACTTCGTAGGGTCCCTTGCCTTCAGGTAGCCACATTCTGATTTCAAAAGTACTCTAAAAATTTGTTGAACCAACTAATGTATTTTCAGTTTTGGTAGGAATCCATTCTGAATTTCACCCAGGTGGAGGCAGAAGCCTTCTCTTCCTGATTTTACAAGCACAAAATGATTGAGCGCAGCTTGCACACAAGACCAAGATTCTTCACCCTCTTGTGAGAAGACTAGGTGTTCCTTCTTACCTATTCCAGGATCAGAGGTGGGGATGAAAGACAGCAGTAAAAAGGAGCTAAGAGTAGCAGTTAAAATCCAGATGTCAGGGAGCACAGAAGAGGCTAGGGGTGGGGGGAAAAAGTGTTTTTGAAATCAGATGACAGAACAGGACTAGAATGGGAAAGGAGACAAAATAGAACATTTTTAGATAAGAAAACCTTTTTCCTTGCTGACAGGATTAGACCCACAACTTTTTGACAGAAAGACGAATACCATATCTCTATTTAGGGTATAATGTTTTTTGTCACATATACAACATTATCAAGCAAAAATTACCCTATAAATTTGCAGCATTCTGTGGAGGTGAAATCTTACCTGATTTGCCATGTGCTGGAGGTGAGGGCTGGTCGCACTCAAACCTCCCGCCCTTTGTTCTTGATACGAGCTGCTGTTCGGATTGTGGCGGTTCTGGGCGCCGCTTACATTTTTGTCTGGTGGATAGCGCACTCCGTTCACGAAGATAGATCCAATTTTGTTGAGATTCCCTAGAAGCCAGTTGACATCATGCTTGTATCGAATCTGTAAGGTTCCTTTCAGAGACTGAGGATCAACCTGCATAAACAAACGGGTTCAGCACATTTATTTTGACAATTTAAGAAGAGAAAACTGACATCTTCAGCTTTTGGGAGACAAAAACTATGATTAAGTTAGTACTCGGGTCGATATAATGCAAAGAAGTCTACTACAAGTTTCTTTTTTTGTTTTAGTAAAAAAATTTACACCTACAACAAAGGGAAAGAAAAGTAGTAGGATCAGCCAGTGGCACAGAGGAAGAGATTGACAGAGATGAATCAACACAACTCTGACATCCCAAAACATAACTACGACGTACTACAGCCTATCTCTGGCACACGACAACATAAATCTGGTGTACCACCACATAATTCTAAGATACCATTGCGCAACCCTGGCTTACCTGAGTGTGGTAGACTTTGCGGCACTTGGACTCCACACTCCCTTTAGAGTACAGGAGGGACATGCTTGACCCGTCCTGCAAAATGTCCTCCATGAACTGAATGCAGTGGTCAAACTTGGTCACCAGATCAGACACGTCGTCAATTTCCTTATTCAGACGTTTTGTGGCAGCATCTGTAAAGCTGGCCAAGTTGGACAAAACACCCCACACTGCCTGTAAAAAATGAATGGATCACCTGGTCAGTAGATGAAAAAATGATCGTCCTGTAGCATCAATTTATGAGGCTACACTACAGATAAAATTTTAACAAAGAATAAACAAAAATGTGCTTTTACTTAAAACACAACAAAACAAGCTTTGTATATATTTCTGCTCAGCATTCCTCTCCTCTAGACTTATCATTGTTAATCAACATAGAAATAATAAAATTTGTAAGTTGATATAAAAATAATTTTCGATCCAACCTTTGCCCAAAAATACATTGCCAGTGCCCAACATCTTTCCCTTCTGACGAGTGACAGGAAAGTTTCCTCACCTGCCTGATTCCTTTGACCAGCACATCTGCCTGTTTGAGGATATCCTGCTGCAGAGAATCTTTCTGCTCCTTGCAGTTTGACAACTTCAGTTCAATCTCTTCCCGGTTTGCAGACAGTTTGTTTCTTTTCTCGCCCATCAATGCAAGACTTCCTTTTAATCTAGCTTTGTACTGCTCTGCCGCCTGAGAACATTAAGAAACACATTAACAACAAGTCTAACTGGATGGAGGTAAACGCTTTAATAAAAAACATACAAAAAGGAAAAGGAGTGTGGAAGACAACAAAAGACAAATTTTACCAGGAGCGAAAGACAGTAGCAGAAAAGACAAAAGAACTAACTATAAATGAAGAGTACCCAACAATCACCCACAACCTTCATTCTTCAACAATCTGAATTCCTCTTGAAACTTTAATTCAACAAGTCAATTAGCCAGGCCAAAATTTACAGTAAATACTCAAAACAAAAAAGATATTTAAGAGAAAAAAAAGAGTATGAAAATAACAAGCAATGTGCGATTAATAAAGGACTCGTTTTAGCATTATATGAGTAAAGGATAGTTACACAGAAGAGACAAAAAAAAAAAACTACACATGAAAAACACCCACCAATCACCCACAGCCTTCACTAACAAATCTTCAGCAATTTTGCACTTCTTTTGAAATTTTACTTCAGTAAGTCGATAGGCCACGCAAGATGTTAATATCTGGCCTTTTACCATTTGATTTGAAGTCTGTCTAAAAGTTTTTGAGGCAGGGCTGGATAAAAATAAGAATTGAACGCACCAATTTTCTCTAACATGTACTTTTAAAAGTGAAACTACATAACAGCATGAAACACAAAACACACTACTTCTTATAGAGAAAATAAGGCCTACAACTTTCAGAAGCAGTGTGGGTGAAATTACAAGAACAGTCGACAGCCCTTAACCCTTTCAGCCCTGGCCCCTAAAGCGTACAGGACCTAGGCATCTGAGCTCCTTTGTGTCAACTGTTGATTGACACATACACCACCAGGCCTTGAAGCATGCAGTCTTTGCGAGAGAGTAAAAATAACAAATGCCTACAAGTGTTCTCAAGCTCACCGGGTTAAAACCAAGCAGATGAACACAATAGAAGAGCCCTGGTGAGGGTAAAGTCCTAAAACAATATTGATAAAAATCCATTAAATTTTGTTAAAGAAGCTGAATTGTAAAGTGCGTAATGCTATCTATTATTATCATTATTATTATTATTGTCAGTCTTAAGAGCACCTGGTCGAGGAACTGGTACTTGTGGTCCTTGTGGTCCAGTAACTGACAATCTCTGCAGGTGAGTTTTTCACATTTCTCACAGAAAAACTTCAATTGTTCTTGCTTGTGCTGTTTGCAAGTCATGAGCTGTTCCCAGGGGGACTTGCTGGTCACAACTTTAACCTGTCCAAAATGAAAATGACAGTTCCGAAAATATAATGATAGCAACGCCGCATTCAAATCTACAAACTAGAAAGGCAACACAATCATATTCAATCTGAAGCCACAACAGTAAGGAATCAGACCTGCCACTCTATGAAATCTAAAAATCAGGATTTCTGAGTTAAAAAATCAGGATCTGGTGAAAAAAATCGGGATCAACGGCAAATCAGTCATAAAGGGCACTGGGGAAGGGGGGGGGGTCCTGGTTCCCTTGAGGCGAGTACGCAAGGCAAAACTTTTGCAGGAATAAGTTCACGTTTGGGCCTCTAAATAGAGGGAAAACTGAAAGACAGCATATATGTACTCGAGTCGAAGTTGGATAGACTGGGGGAGCGAAGATCGCAGTGATGCTGAAACACTCGTAGTCTTGAAAACAGCTGACACGTAACTCTCCACGCAAAACGCCCGCGTTTTAACCTTGGAGTAACTATATACGTTTGACTTCCCTCATATCGAAAAAAAGATCGCGCCAAGGCTGGCTGTTCATTTTTTTTTTTCCTTTCCCCTTAATTAGTACCTGTATTACGGCACGCACTTTAAGCCAAAGTGTCATAACAATACCCCCACCCCCTCCCCCCGGCCGTCCACACTGGTTAAGTCCCAAAAACACCTCGACCGACGCGACCGGTGTGAATGAACTTTGTTGAGCCCGACAACCGACGGTCCCCGACACACGCGCTACTCACCACACGTACGAGGTCATGTCATGTGATGCGAATGAGCGTTTGAAACTAGGTCGATTTTAGTTTAAATAACTTGCGTTAGTCATCTACTAGATCTAGATTCGGCATAGATGATTTAGAAAATAGCGTTTCAAGTTCCTGCAGATAAAAAGCCCAATCGGTGTTTTTAAACAAAAGAGATTGCAGAACTTTTTTTATTTTTTTCTAAGAATCGAACGCAACAGACGCAACGACAAAAAATCAGGATACTGGCGATCGAAATCGGGAAAATCGGGATGCTTGAGATTTGGGGCAAAAAATTGGGATATCCCGATTAAATCGGGATGAGTGGCAGGTCTGAGGAATGCATTAGAACAACACTAACACTGAAAAAACAAACATGACTAAGCACGTAAACATGATCACGCTGGGCAGAAGAGAGTGCTACAGAATTGTACAAATTAATTCCAACATTTATGTCTTTAAATACTAAAAAGCCTGTATTTTCATATCCTACAATACCCCTGAACTTCCTGTTAAGAAAAAAAAATATCCTATAAGTACCAATTAAAAGTTTTATTAAATAAAATTATAATGATAGTTTGTATATGGCTTGAAACCATTAATTAATCCAGGGGAAAAAAAATTGACTAGCCTATTACAAATGATTTTGATTAAGCAGGTGTTTTACGGCACTATAGACTCAATTTTGGTCATTTAAGTGCCACTATTACTAGTGGTCAGTACAATAATTTCAAAGGAAATTTCTGTGAAGTAACCCGTACTGGCAATGTTGAACTGAGAACTTGACGACATGATGTGATAGTTGACACTGTTTTAGGTCAATACCATGCATTTTATTATACCCTGTATCAGTAGAGAGTGGTCTTGAAAATTATGTCTTCTGTGAAGAACAAATAATGAGACCATTAACAATCACATTAGACTACGGTTGCCACAAGTCCTGTGCCACAAGTCAAGAACAGCTCTCTCAGCTTACAAAAGTTACCCTTTAAACGTAAGATAGAAAAATGCTTGTGTGCTTTAGGAAACAAATGTGCTGGTGAAACAGGTCCAAGAAGTGGGTTGCAGTCGCTCTCCTGGCTGGGTGACCAGATGGGGTATTTTATACTGCTGGCTGTGTGACTGCAAAGAGTAAAAAAACCTATCCCCAGAGCCTCTCTTTCTCGCCCTTTTTAACTCCCAGTGGAGCACAGGCCATCAACAGCATTACTCCAGCGAAGTCTGTCCTGAGCATCCTTTTCTATCTGTTTCTATGATGTCCCCGCTTTTTCAATTTCCACTTGTACCGCTCGCCTCCATGTCTTCTTTGGTCTTCCGTTCTTACGCTTTCCTTGTGAATTTGTGGGTTCCACGTTAAAGCCTGCCTGATGATGCTTGTCAGGGGTCTCCTCAGGGTGTGTCCAATCCATTTCCATTTCTTCACCTGTATGTCTTCCTTTACTGGCCTTAGGCTTGTTCTTTCCCACAGTTGAGCATTAGTGACTCGATTGTACCACTTGATCCCCACTATCCTTCGTAGGCATCCATTTACCAAGCTCCACAGTTTCCTTGCTGCTGATGCTGTGAGCCTCCATGTCTCTGAACCATACAGTAGAACAGTCTTCACGTTTTGTTCACATTTGTTTTGAAGATCCTCAGCTTGGTGTTCAATCCCAGTTCCTTAGACATCCATACATTCCTGAGAATGATGAATGCTGCTCTTGCCTTTCTGATTCTGACCTTGATGTCTTCGTCTGTTCCCCCTGCCTTGTTGATGACACTTCCCAGGTAGGTGAAGGACTCAACGTCCGCCAATGGTGCCCCTTGCAGTGTGATAGGAACGTCGACTGCATTCATTCGTAGAACTTTCGTTTTATCCGAGTGAATATGGAGTCCAACACTGCGGGAGAAGGTCTGAAGCGATCTGTTTTCTGTTGCAGAGCCTAACAGACCAAAAAAACACCCGAGTTCGTTTGGGTCGACAGCTAGATATACACAATGAATGCGAGCAGTGCACATATGGGTAACAGTAGTCCCAAACCACAGGGTTAACTTTTCCGTGCAGGAGCAATAAATAATGTGTGTTAGAGAATTCTCTTCACTCACCTGATCTTTGGGAGAAATTACGTGATCTTTGGTAATCCTCACTCGCTTGTGGGCATCAACACAGCTGTCACACAGCCACTCCTCACACTGCATGCAATATGACTCTGCCTGCTGTCCCTCCTCACAAGCAGTGCACATGTGCTTCGAGTCTGCCACTGGTGATGACGGCTGGTCTGGATCCAGTGCTGCAAACATGTTATCCATCAAGGCCATTCCCGCCTGCTCGACGGGGTCTCGGCATATTGGACATTCTGAAATAAAAAGACAATATATAAAAAAACAATGCACACTCAAAAGCGTTCAAAAGGAAAAATATTTGGACTTCACATCCAAGTTAAAACTTTAAAATATCTTAAATCTAGCAACGAGTCCCTTTATCATGAACATACCTCTGATCTGAACATGCATGCATAAAAGACTGATTCATTCACTGATTTGACTATAGTCAAAGTTCTTGCTTCCAGGACAAGAATAGCTGGGGAGCCACTGGAAGTGTGACCTGATGGTATTATGGCATCCGCTTTAAACACCCAAATCTGTGGGGCTGCTGGGTTTTCTATGGTTTAGCTGTGATCTCGGTTAGGAGAGATTGCTAAAATAGCAAGTGATTTTCCTTACTTTTCTACCCAGGATGCATATTATTTATGCCTGGCCACCATCATGTATCATACACCTGATTAATTAATAAAACCCTGGTGGAACCTCCAACAGTCAACTGTTTAAACTTTTTTTTAAATATAAACCATGACTACGTTCCCAAGACCCACAAGTATCCCTATTTCTCTATGCTATTCGTCCGTGGCCTTGTGGTTTGGCTCTCAAACTCGCAACCGTTGGGTTGTGGGTTCAAATCCCGTCAGGGGCCAGACATTGAATATTGTCTCTGTGGGAAAAGCACTTTACATGAATTTTCCTCACTTCACCTAGGATAGAAAGGGTACCCAGCTATTGACTGAAAGATCTTGTCAGTTCGTTAGTGTTTGAGTGCTTAATCAGCCGCTGGCACGGTACACTTCCCGGAAGCTGAGAATGTTTCTGAGTGTTCAATGGTCTGCTGGGTGTAATAATATCAAGGGTAAAGTGCAAGTGCTATACAAATGCTATATTATATATTATTAATAATTATTCATTAATTAGGAGGAGTTAATTCCAAATGATACATCAAGCATTCATTACGATACCAAAGTAGTCCAGACCTATTTTCTATAGAGGACAAAATTATATTCCCCCCCTCCCCCCCCCTCCCCCAATCTAAATCTGATAAGTTTTAACCCATAACTTATCTTTACAATCCGTCATCCAGCAATGCGCACAATTCATATTATATAGCTCAGTTTGCATCCATTCCAGAGGAGCCAATTTGATCAAGTACTCTGTAAATGTATTTTTCTACGTTCTTGCTAAGATATTTCAAGACATAAAACCTTTAAACTGCGATTACCACACACTTCCTCACCGGCAGCTGAAAATTTATTGTTACTGGGTCGTCATCTTGGGTAAACGAAAGTGGATGAGATGTACCGGACATGATTGGACATTGAAAGGACTAATAATACGACAGGTGAATGGATTATAATAAATGATTATGACTGCTCGTCCATGTCTGGAGCCAAAATAACATAACTTATGACAAAGCATCGGGCGATGAGAGATTTGTGAGGCCGTTCTTTAACAGGTTTGGTGGATCCTATAAAATAGTGGCCATGGCAGCATTGGACAGGTGACTTTTTTTAGTGATATACATACATACAGTGGCGGTGGGTGGACCAAAATTTGGGTGGGGCTTAGATTAAGGTTGCTTCCACTTCTTTACCACCAAATAGCAAGCAACAACAACTAAACAGTGATGATTTTTACTCACGGTGAGCAATGGCATTTTGAGAACCATTCAAACAAGAAGAGTTACCTCTCTTTTCCATCTCTTTGTTCTCTAAGTTAAATTCTTGTTGATGGTGGGGATGAAGCCATTTCACCTCCAAATGTCCTCTAATTAATGTTCATCTGATGAAAAAGTTGCCTTAAAAGTAGTTCAACCTCATTTAACAGTTAAATATCAGCGGCACAAACAGAAAAATGCATACACAGCATTTCAAATATATATATATTACTTCTATGAGCTGGATTATGCTGTGTAGTCGAGAAAGTTGAACGCACCTAACAAAGAACCAATGAGCGCTTAGGTAACTATGTTAGTGGGGGTAAGTGTGCCGTAAACTTTCGCCCCATTGTCAGGCTAGGAGAGCGTGAGCCCGCAATACAGTGTTCTTTTTTTCAAGTCTTTTACCTTTTTTATAAAAAGAGTTTCATTAAGGGCGGGTCGTGGGAAAGGGTTCACCCTTTGCTGAGCCCTAAAGACATTTCATTGGCTGCTGGGACACTATAGTTGTAAGCGGTGTTGACCATATTTAGCCACGGCCTAGCCATAATAATAATAACGAAGTGACTATTTCTCCAAACCTTCGGGATAATAAACTTGAACTCTATTTCTCCGAATGGTTTCCGTTCTCGAGTTTTGTTGGTTATTTGCGTGAGTTTGGCATCATCTTTCATTAGACCATTCTGTCAGGACTGGGAAGAAGCATTTTTTTTCTTGCATCGAATTCAATTTCTAGAGCGAGAAAATTTTAGTTGTTTGAATATTCAGATAGAGATCTACTTCAATTGGAGTTGGGACAACATTCCTGGACTATTGTACTTCATTTCAAAATGCCTTCAAAAGGTACTGCGAGAAAACAAGACTGCTTGACTTTGGCAGTAGTAACCTATTTTGCATTTAGTCATCCCTAAAGCAAAAACTAAATCATACCAAAATATCATCCTCCCGTTTATATCTTACACACACACACGCACTCACACGGTGCACACACACACACACACACATACAAACACATGGCAGGCACACACACACATGGGGCCACTCCATTCGCAAATAACCAAAAAGTGTCGAGAACAGAAACCGTTCAGAGAAAGAGAGTTCAAGTTCAAGTTTATTTTCCTGAGCGTTCGGAGAAATAGAGCCAGCCTGATAATAATTATGATGTTTTGTAACTGGCTTTGATATTTTCGCAGTGATTTTGTAGTTCTGTTCGTTAAAGTCCACGATCCATTTGCGGTAATTGTCTACTTTCTTGCGTTTAATTGTCCATTAATATATTTAGAGGGCTTTTCAGTGTTAATATACTTTAAAAACATGTACAGAGATACATATTATGAGGACAGTTTCATTTAATAAAAGTTTTTAAAAATGAATGACTGATCAAAATGTATTAATTTTTAGATCAAAATTTAAGTTTGTCATAATTGGTTATATGAACAAACCATCTTAAAAGTATTCTAAAGGTTTTTCATACTTAAATAAACTTTGAATTCTTCCTACATAGACAAATCTATCATATTTTAAGGAGAGTCTCATAAATGAAAACCATTTTATGTGAATGACAGAACAATAAGTTAATTTTGGGGGCCCAAAGTAAAATTTGTCATAATAGTTATGAACGAAACAGTGTGTCATTTATATAATGGTTATGAATGAACTTTAAATTTATGCATAACATGCCCTATGACCAGTTTGCGTTTAAAAATAGCTGTTAAATGGTCGTTCATTTATCACTTGACTATAATTAGACCAGAGGGTTATTTTAGACAATTCTAGTCAATGAAACTTGACATAATTGATAGTTTTTTGGTCTCTTATTGTTCGTTCATAACTATTATGACACAAAAAGAGTAATTTTAACAAAAGTTAATAAAGATTTTTATAAACTGTCAATTGTATTATTTTTGGAAGTTGTTTGCTATGTCACAAAATATAACCTCAGCCTAGCTGAAGAAAGGAACTTTGATTATTCATAAATTTGTGTCATCATTGTTATGAATGAACTTTTTGCTATGTCTGTCATTCAAGTCAGAATTACACCAAGACCATTGCATTAAACAGCTTTGGCAGTTACAGAGCCTGAAAAGGCCATCATTAGGCTATTATAATATAATATGAATGATCAAAGAATTATTACATAAAAAGTTGATATTGGACCTCATTTGTCACGCCCAGGTATCCCACCTTTTGGCAAATGCTCGTATATATATGGAATCCTTTTTTTTTACGGAATCTCCCCACTACCCCCTTGATATTTATTTATCTCTGTATAAAACGGAAACCTGTCCAACATGGAAACGAAAAGAAAAATCCGCTCTCTTCCGAGGGTTTCACTTGTCTAAGACGGAAAATGCTTTGCCCGCTCAACCTTGATTTGAAAAAATTTGCAAGTTTGGTTCCGCCGGCTCTAAACTTAACGCTATGGCTATGCCGCTGGTCGAGAAAGAGGAGTAGGGGTGCAATTTCGGGGTAGATGTTACTCCATCATGTGATCCGTGAGCCATGCAGATGGTCAGTGTAGTGTAGGTGTGAAATCTCACGACTTCCCGTGAGAGTGCTCTAGTAGCGAGCCACTACAGAAACTTTCCTGGGTAGCCAGAAGCCAGAGGTGTGAAATTAGATTTGACCAATTCCTGCCGCCCTGATCGTACAGCCAGCCGAGTAAAGAGTTCCTTGAATCATTGTTACATGATGGCAGTGAGGGGTGGCATTGGTGGGAGGGGCTAAGGGTGGAATCAAAAGAGAGGTCAAACAGTGGTCCTATGAAAGGCAAGCACTGTGGTGGTAAATATTACCCTATTACTCTATTACTCAATTACTCTATTTTTATCTTATTTTTTCTTCAAAGAATGTATTTAAAAGGAAAAAAAAATGTTGGTGCTTTGCTATGTTCTGAAATCGAGATTATCCTGAATCTTGAAGACTTAAGAAAGAGTAGTCGGGATGCAAAGTCATTGTCAAAGATTATATCGATCTAGTATACAGTGTCAAAACTTATTCGTTGCTTTCGCCTTTTTCTCATTCATCTGTTGTTGTTTTTAAATTATAATAATATTCCCTTTTCTTTCAATTCAAAATCTAAAACTGTAACGTCGGCCTACGAGGCTCTATATTACAGACTCTCATTTCTCGGTGTAGGTCAGTGTTGGTCTCTGACTTCATACTGTAGAGATTGGGTGGGGTAGTGCCAGGGGTAGTGTCCTCCCACCCCAAGTAATCAACAAAGGGATCGGACTAATCGTTACTAGCCGGATGTAATTGCTGGGGTCGGACAACTCGTTACTCGCCGGAAGTAGTCATGGGTATCACGACTCGGCGGAAATAATTGCTGGGGTCGGAGTAGCTACTCGCCGGAAGTAGTCATAGGTATCGCGACTCGGCGGAAATAATTGCTGGGGTCGGAGTAATTGCCACTTGCCGGAAAAAAATTGCAGGTGTCGGACTAACTGGAAGTAATTGCAAGGGTCGGACTAATTGCTACTCGCCGGAGGTCATTGCAGGGGTCGGGTTCTGCTAGCCGCTGCATATACAATCATAATAATGGGTACGGATCGAAACCACTGGAAGAAATCTTAGAGCCACTGGAAGAAATCACATCACTGGCTATAAAGAAAGTAATTGGATTCGGCGCCGATTCCTACGATTCCTAGCCTTTAATATTCGGGAATCTACGGTTACCGAAAAAAACAGGAATCGCCCACCTCTAGTATAAGATGTTTTTTAGTTTTAGTGATGGCGCTCGCAACTGCATAACAGTCATATGAGCCATGAGCGCCAGAAGATTAGAAGCTGTTACAAGAGAGTAACAAACATAAAAAAGAAGAAGGGGAGATAAGGACGATAAATGTTTGACAGGAAAGAAGAAGCAAACCACACCAGAGCACCCGCCAACCACCCACAAATATTAGATAAGATAAGTAAGACTGACGCATGTCATTACAGTGGAGTCCACTTATAACGAGTCCGGAAAAAACGAGAAGTCTGTTATAAAGACACTATTCTAAAACCCCGTTTCTCCTCTTTACCTCTGTAAATAAAATACTGCTATAGCGCTATCAAACATGCGAGTCGGTTATAACGGAATATTGCAGCTGCTGTGCACAGTACATAGACCAATTATACATAATGCAAACCTCGCCAGATGAGAAACTTGGTGATCTAGCCAATCAAAGAATAGGAGAGCCCATGTGCGTCAACAATGAAGGCCGGAGCGACTGAGTAGGGAGGGACAAGCAGAACGCATTGCGTGATAGGCCAGCGTAAGCCTAGTTTAGATTATCAAGGCCTTCCATGCCTCTCACTTCTCCGATGCGGGGATGGAGAGGTCACAGCAATGTGATGGATGGAGCGAATGTGTGACGTGCGCAAGCAGACAGAATGCACCACAGGGTGGGGTGTGGTGGGGGAAAACCACAGTGGGCGAGTTAGCCCAGAGCCTTTTCTTTCTGATCACCAACGCCGAGCTGTCAGTCTACATCGCTAGAGAAAGAAACCTGATTCGATCTTTGATCAAGTAAGACCTAGAGGTCATGTTGAAACAAAACTATCATCAGGGGGGATAGCAAAAGGAAACAAACAGAACACCAAACTCATAGATTAGGCCTACTTTACAGTTTCCTTTGAATGTATTACTGGATCCCTTATAGCGAGAATCCTGCTATAACGGACATTTGGCTCCGGTCCCCTCCCTCTCGTTACAGAATTCCACTGTATCAGACAGGATAGCAATTGAGAGGTGTGAAGTTTTGACCACTGCTTGCTGATCGGACAAGGGATATTTGATCCCACCCGCTGGGACTTTGAACCCCCCCCCCCTCCCAACCTCCATCTCTCCCTAAATTCCCCCTAAAACGGAATTTTGTTCTGGCTCCATTGCGATTCCGTCTTACACTTACACAGGTTCAACTGTACTAGAAGCTAGATTCTCTCTACAAATTATGAAATTGCCGTGGTTTACGTATTCTTAACTCTAGCACAAAGTTTTGAATATCCAATAGGGGATGCATGGAGTTTCGTCTAGGCTCGGCCGGAATTTAACGCGAGAAAGTAAACAATTACCTATTTGTTTACATCCAGAGAAGAAATCCGAAAGTCTTGATGACCCATAGGCAACACAAAGAACAGGGATGCCAGACAGGACAGAAACAACAGAGTGAAGACAAAGTTTGACAAAATATGCTTAAGAAAAGTTTTTTTGTTTTTTTTAGGGGGGGGGGGGCATCTTGAACCAAAGTAATACATGAATTACACTTCTTTTTTTGTCCCGAGGGGCTGAGTTTATCAGAATTCCACTGTGATCTTTATTTCTTTGGAAAAAAGTCTCAATTTTTTTCCACTAAATCTAATCTAGATTCTAGATCTACTAGATCTAGATCTAGATCTTAGTTTTTAGTGTAGAGGTTTTACGGCGCTCACAACTGCATATAAGGTCATATATGAGCGCCAGAAGATTAGAGATGTTACAAGAGAGTAACAAACATAAAAAAGAAGAAAGGGAGATAAGGAAGGATAGATTTTCCACAGGTGGACAGAAGAAGCAAACCACACCAGAGCACCCGCCAACCACCCGCGTAGATCTAGATTCTTGAGATATGTCGTGCGGTCGTGTTGCCACCATGACTGTCAACAAAGTGGGAAGGAAGAGGCTAGCCGTACTTAATGACGGCTAGACTGGCAGTCTAGCCGTACTTAAGTACGCGTACTTATTCGTAACATGATGGCTAGACTGACCTATTTACAAAAAATAGGCCTACTGAATTGTAAATATACATTTTTAGTGTGCAGTACCTAAAGTATTTGTATTTGAGACGAAACCAGGGGCCTTAATGACAGTGCATGTATTTTAAACCTCCTGTTTTCTAATGTTAACAGGGCCTAAGATAAGTACGGCTAAACTGGCAGTCTAGCCGTACTTAAGTACGGGTAGACAGCCAGGCTAGCCGTACTTAAGGACGGCTAGACTGTCAGGCTAGCCGTACTTAATATTGATGGCTGAATTGTAAATAAAATTTTTAGTTTGCAATGCTAAAGTATTTGTATTTCAGACAAAACCAAAAGGTGCCTTACTGACTTGCATGTATTTGAACCTGAATTTAATTACTAGTAGACCTAGATCTAATGAGATCTGTGTACTTAACAGGCTTGAGTCGATTGGGCCAAACCTAGATCTAAGTACGGCTAGACTGGCAGTCTAGCCGTAGTACAAGATGGCTGTTACTAAGCCTACTTTACTACTATAAATATTGGCCAATGGCAATGGCGTACTCCTGGCGTTCTTTATAAAAATATCTATCCGCTTTTCTATGTTCTGTAGAATCTAGGCTAGATATGTTTTTCAAGAATATTATTTTCTGGCGTAAGTGTCTCCTTCCAGTCTCACGCTTAGTTCACTCCTCTATGATTACAACCTGGCACTTCAGGCTGAGGGTCTCTGGCTTTTGACTTTTAACTTTACGAAGTGGCTAGCCGTACTTAAGTACGGCTAGACTGCTAGCCGTATTTAAGTACGGCTAGACTGCCAGTCTAGCCGTACTTAAAGATCTAGGTTTGGCCCAATCGACTCAAGCCTGTTAAGTACGTACAGGTCTCATTAGATCTAGATCTAGTAATTATTCAGGTTCAAATACATGCAAGTCAGTAAGGCACCTTTTGGTTTTGTCTGAAATACAAATACTTTTGGCATTGCAAACTAAAAATTTCATTTACAATTCAGCCATCAATATTAAGTACAGCTAGCCTGACAGTCTAGCCGTCCTTAAGTACGGCTAGCCTGGCTGTCTACCCGTACTTAAGTACGGCTAGACAAGAAGTCTAGCCGTACTTTTAAGTACGGCTAGACTGCCAGTCTAGCCGTACTTATCTTTAGGCCCTATTAAGATTAGAAAACAGGAGGTTTAAGTCATTAAGGCACCTGGTTTCGTCTCAAATACAAATTTATGCTTTAGGTACTGCACACTAAAAATGTATATTTACAATTCAGTAGGCCTATTTTTTGTAAATGGTCAGTCTAGCCTTCATATTAAGAATAAGTACGGCTAGACTCCGAGTCTAGCCGTACTTAAGTACGGCAAGACTGCGAGTCTAGCCGTCATTAAGTACGGCTAGACTGCGAGTCTAGCCGTCATTAAGTACGGCTAGCCTCTTCCTTAACTTTAACTTTAAAGAACGAAACAACAAAATATCCATTTTCTCTCCCTCACCAGGCGTCAAACGTCGTATCGGCATGCGCAGCAAAAAGTAATTGTTTCGAACCAGAAGTAGGCTAGATCTAGATCTAAATAGAATCGGTAGAGCTAAAGGAAGTGGCTATTCTCACCCGCCCGAAAGTTCTTCACAAGATCTACTCCTCCCCTCTTCTCTCTCTCTGTCTCTTTCTGAATACTGTCTATCGGTGTGGACGATCAAATTGACCAAAACAAAGATTTAAAATTATGTTAAAACACAAAAGTAAATTAATTTGGTTGCCTACAAAGATGTTACGGCTATTTAACTTTTCGAAACGAGCCGAACTACGCGGGTCGCCATTTTGTTTTGCCCGGAAGTTCTCGCGCTACTCCTCTCTCTCTCTCTTTCTCTCTCTCTCTCTCCACTGCCCACAGACAAAATTGTACGCTTTTAGTAGGCTACAGTTGTAATAGAACGTTTGTTCACAGCACAGAATTCTACAATTATTCTGTTATCACAGTGTAGAATTCTGTGGTTTAGGGTGAACGCAAAATTTGTTGGCCTACATCTAATCTAGATCTAGATCTAGGCTATATAACGGTGGACGCGCACCGGGTGAGAATAGCCAAAAGACACGCCTGCACTATTCTCACCCCGGGTGAGAAGAGAGGTGGCCAGAGCTAAAACCCCTACTTCTCACTCCATAGTTACCGTTCCACTTGGGGTTAAAACCCGATTATCCAGACAGAAGCTTTAGTAGGCCTACCTGTGACAGGTGTTGGCTTCAGCTCTGCTGTTTCATCACTGACTTCAACGTCTGAACCAGTCTTGTTAGTGGACTCACTGCCCTCTCCATTGCTTGCACCTAGATCTAGATCTAGATTTACTTGATCTCCATCTCCAGCATTTGAGGTGTTACTCAATCCATTGTTGGCTTTCGTCTCTGTCGATTCTGTCAGCTTCTCAGAATCGTTAGAGTCTGATGATCGCTGACCATTATCAACTGGTTTGTCCCCTGGAGTATCCCCATCATTTTCTGCTGACAGCTTACTGTCTGATGCTTCCTTGCTCTTCGTATTATCTGCAGCTGATTTCTTCGAGCTATCAACAGAACCGGTGACGGTGTCACATGTACTGGTGTCGACTGCTGCATCCCTTTCTTCGCTGTCCCCGGCCACCTTCGATTTAGACTCCTCTCCCGTTTCTGTAGATTTATCAGATTCCACTGTACCTTGCTGGGGTGATTCGCTCGCATTTTTTTCCGTTCCATTATCAGCCTCCTCTGGTTTTTGCTGTGCACTTGTGCTTGCTACACCGTCCACTTTCTTGTTGACAACGGAGGTTGCAGTCGCCTGTGTTTCGGACTTTTGTTTCCGGCGAGACGGAGTTCGCCCATACAGGCAGTCCAGGCACATGGAATGAAGGCATGGCAGAAGTTTCAACGGTTTTTCTGGCGATGTAAACTTACACTCACACTTCACACACTGATTCACAATATTCTTAACATCCCACATAACTGAAGTGGGGAAAACACCTCAAATGATAAACTAAAAGTATTCACAAAAACGCTCTTGGGAATAAAGACTGCATAACGTCCATGCTTGAAAACTAAATTTAGGTTGCGTCCTACTTTGGACAAACAAGGGGAGAAAAAAATCTGCTTCCTGATTGGTTGTTGTTATTTCTCACACTGTAGCCTAGGCTATTCCTTGGTCTTACAAACTTAGCCTACTCAATCACAATATCACTTTATAGCAGCCGGGTGCAGAATATAAGGGAACAACAAAAAATAAATCCGTCCCAGCCAAAGAGAAATGCACCGCTCTGCTACACGGGAAAATGACAGTCATTCAACACTCAAGGCCCGTCACGTTTCAGCAGGGCAGGGCCCTCGACAAGTAAACCTTGATTGATCTTTGTGCGCGCATGACGCTGAAACTTGTGGCAGCAGCCGGTTCGGGGCGGTTCGGACTGGATTGTGGTGGTTTGCGTGGAGTTTTCCACTCCGAACTAGATGACGACCTTGACTTTGGTAAAATAATGAGGTGTGGCCTCGCCAGGTGCTGGCTTACGTCCAAAGCATGCGTTGAGGCACGTGAAACTGAAACTGAGAAAATGGTGACACGTGTTAATATTAAAATAATGTCATGCTGCTGGTTGCTGTTGCTGTGGTCGACCTGACTCCTAAATGTCGGCGGGTAAAAATGTGGATCGAAGTAAATGTCGGATGCCGAAATAAATGTTAACTTATCAAAGGTTTCATTTAAAGTTCAAATCTCGGCCAGTGTGATAATTGACACAGAGTAAAAAATGGAAAACAGCCATCCAGAATTTTTGACTTACCTCCACACCAAAGTACATATTTGCCTAAGCAATACGTTCGTTAGAATCTAAAACACACATATTTATAGCCAATGTAAAGACCTTTCTCTGCCCTGTATAAGTAAGCTATAAAAACGTTGGCTTCGGGTAATTACTGACTCCCCCACCCCCACACTTACACATGTTCAGCTTCATGACATCTGGCCAAGAAAGGAGTCAAAAAGGGCGTGAAACATTTAGAAAAATCTACTTACAACAATGTTCTTTTTCTGAGATGAACAACAAGGGGATATATATATATATATATATATATATATATATATAGAGAGAGAGAGAGAGAGAGAGAGAGAGAGAGAGAGAGAGAGAGAGAGAGATAGATAGATAGATAGATAGATAGATAGATAGATAGATAGATAAATAGATAGATAGATAGATATCTAGGTTTCCTTAATTGCACACTTGGCCCAGAGTGCACAAGTAAGCCATCCCACATTTTGTTTTTCAAATCATCAAGAGTGCACAAGTAAGCCATCCCACATTTTGTTTTTCAAATCATCATGGGGCAATCCTTTATCCCCTGGATAAACTTCGTAGCATTATCAATAGTCAAAGTAATTTTGTAAAACATACAGGTTGGCAATAAGAGACGCACAGAATACTTTTGAAACATGTAACGTGACTAACTGCCCATGCACACCCCCGCCCCGCCCACGAATTTCTCTCTCTCTCTCTCTCTCTCTCTCTCTCTCTCTCTCTCTCTCTCTCTCTCTCTCTCTCTCTCTCTCTCTCTCTCTCTCTCTCTCTCCAAAACGTGAATGTGCACATTTCTATGTGTGCAAAACAACACGTAGATCTATTTGTCTGCTAAACTTCCTGTCAACTAAAAAGGAAAACTCGTGACCCCATCCCCACCAAACCTGTGCAGTCAGAATATTATTAATATAATAATATATGAGAGGAGGGGGAAGTACATGTGTATAAAAGCGAATATTGTCACAAAATCTTATCGAACGTATGTCGTACAATATGTATTCGTTGTATAATAAGACTAAGGACCTTAACGTCCAAAGAACACTAAAAATTACAATTACAGAGAAAGAAAAAAAATGGATTGGGGGCGGGAGAGAGGTGTTCCGTGCAGTTGGAGGCTGAGGTGTGAGGAGGGGGCGGTTCTCTTGACATTTGGTGGGGCTGTTTTCTTTATATTCCGGTTTTGGAAACGTTGCCAACTCTGACCGCGAGTGCGACCGACCACCGACAAACAAAAAAAGCGCTCCAGTTGAAACGAAAACCAAAAACCGAGACTGAGACTGAGAGTGAGAAGCGGTGGTGTGCGGTCGCCTCGATCTTGACGCTGCGGACGCTAGGCTAGGCTATAAATAGTCAGCTTGGCGTGGTAGCCAAGTTTGGTGCTACGGGGTTCACACGGTTTGCTGTTTCACACGGGGTCCGGCCCTTCAGACAAGCACAGTCGATAACAGCTGCGGGAGGTAAACAGCTGGCGGCATCGGACAAAAGTACAGTAAAACTCTGAAAAGTTAGAAGCGAGAACAACAGATTCGTTTGGGGGGAAAAAATGATTCAAAAAGTACTTCTTGGTCTATTTGCACATATTACTCATTAATTTCCTTGAGAGATTTTGGGGTATTTTCTATTACAACACGGTGAACGTGTCTCATTCCTTTAAAATCTAAGAACAAAATGAGACAAGTCTGACATGTTCTTACGGAAGCCTGCAGTCATTTTGATGTTCTCCACACTTTGCTTTGAAGTACATTTCTCGTGAAAGTGACCAGTAATCCATGGTCAGCAATAAAAAGCGTGAGACCTCGTCCTTCCGGAAACAGCTTTACGATTTTCACTCACTATAGGAACGCCGTTTCGTTCACATGACAATGTATTTAGAAAGATCTACCCTGACTCTCAAACAGCTTCAAATGAGAGTTCAGAGGAGCTGCAGGGTAAGATTTAAACACTCACACACTTAAACACACGCACACACACACACACACACACGCACGCACGCACGCACGCACGCACGCACACACACACACACACACACACACACACACACACACACACACACTAACTTATACGCATTCTTTTAGTTTTAGTAGAGTTTTAAGGCACTTGCAACACAATAAGTCATTATATAAAGTGCCGACACATATTGTTTAGACATGCAACAATGCAGCATAAATATAAACGGCATGCATGTATGTACACACTCACACACACACTGCTGCTGTCTGTTGTGTAGTGGTTAGGCACTTTGCAGGGATTGCAAAAGACGTGAACAAGTTCGATTGCAGTGGGAGAAAGATATTAATATTATCGAGTACAATGTATCTCCATCCATTTGGGGTGCAGAATCGCAGTCAACCTGGATTTTTCTTGGCTTGCAAGGTCTAAAGAGCAATCCAACATTTTTCCTAACTTGTGTTAATTGGGACATTTGCAACACACACACACACACACACACACACACACACACACACACACACACACACACACACACACACACACACACACACATACCATTACGCCCACAACTCATGCATCCGTTGGTTTTTATTTATTTTTAAAAATTACATTATATCACAAAAGGTGCAACAAATATTAGATCTATGTAATGGATTATTATGAACATGTCACTGAATTTTAGGATGCACTGTTAACTCAGTTGGTATTATGCTGGACTACTGAGCGGATGGCTCTGATTCGAATCCTCAGTGGGGGCTTCCTGGAGTATGGTTGATTTTTTGAGTTTCAAATAGGTGCTCCACCCTTTTGGCTAGGCCCTATCGGAGATGGACGTTGAAATCAGAGATCCTTCCTTTTGATTAAATGATGCAAGGGGTGCCCTACCAACAGAATGACAATAACGGGCTTTTGCCAGCAGTCCACGGGTTTGCTTTTCAATTTTGTGTGTTGTTTGCTCTCCTCTCTTTCATGTTTTCTTTCTTTCTGTTTAGAGAGTGATTAATTTTGTTTTGTGAGATTAAGTGAAGTGAAGCGAGAAAAGACCCAGAGAGTAGTACATGGAGTTTGCAAGGGGGAAAGGGAGAGGGTGTTCTTATATAACTCTGTATGTTTATGCTAGTGTGTGTATATATGTGTGCCTGTGTTTGTATGTGTGTGTTTGTACTTTTATGTCTGTGTATGTACGTGTGTTAGTATGTGTGTGCACGTGTATTCGTATGTGTGTACTTGTGTTAGTAAGTGTGTGCACTTGTACGTGTATGTACTTGTGTTAGTATGTGTGGTGAGTGTTTGTGTGTGTGTGTGTGTGTATGTGTGTGTGTGTTTGTGTGTGTGTGTGTGTGTGTGTGTGTGTGTGCTTGTATTAATGTATGTGTGTGCTTGTATTAGTGTGTGTGTATATATGTGTGTATATGCTTGTATTAGCGTGTGTGTGTATGTGTGTGCGGGCGTGTGCGTGCAGTGTGTGTGTGTGGGGGGGATCAACGGAGTAGAACGGAATTAAACAGAACAGCACAAGTACTGCGTTATGTAGTCCATCCAGGACTTTAAGGGGCCCATACTTCACAGTATTACTGGAAGCCAATAATGATTCGACATTGAGTCGTCAAAATGAAATACTAAACGTGACATGACAGCGACTCATCAAAATCATAAAATAGCGTCCCATTATCATATAGAAATGCATCAGTACCTTCATGGTCTATCTTTTTCACATAAAATTAGTTTACAAAGCCGGCAGCTGAATATTATGTATTAACAAGCATGCTCGCTGCCAAGAAAATCAAACTGCCAAAGATTTTCTACGGTGGGTAATTAGCTGTTATGAGATCCTCTTGTGTTATTATAATGATTTTTTTTTAAAATGTGTTGTTTTTTTAATCGAAAATTTTTCATACTGTGAACATTTGGAAAGGACATAGACTTCACTTTCAGCAATGCTTTTAGAATGAGGACAGACAGACAGACAGACAGGGATACAAAAGATAAACAGACAGAGAGAGGCGTATTAGTAGAGGTGAGGGTTTTATACAGCTGATATTCTTATAAATGATTTCAGTCAATATTCATGGAACTTGAATTCGTATACCCGAAGACACCCTGCCCCCGCCCCTCCCCCCAACATACCCACACACACCCACACCCACACACACCCACACACACACCCACACAAAACAAAACAACCCACACACACTATTAAGATAGCGTAATAAGTTGTTTTTCTTTTTTTGGTCTCGTCATATTATATGGTTATTTCCACTTCCACCATAATATGGACTCCGATGTTTTTATCTCTGAGAGACAAACGCTAACAAGGTGGTTCTTTTTTTGGCTGGATTCTCCTAACGAAAGGGCCTCCTGTCTAGGGCAAAGATCAGTCTTATCATCGGTTTTGACAAGGAGCCTAATGGCTGGAGACATCTGAGATGCAGGAGTGTAGCAATGATGAGACATTTAATTGTTGAATAAAACTAGACGCTCTCTCTCTCTCTCTCTCT